GTTCCCACGACAGCTGCAGCGCCAGCCCCTGGCTCAGCGTGGCATTGGCAAGAGCAGCCTCCTGGACTGCCCGCCCTGCAGCTGCAGGCAGTCGGAGGCAATCAGGAGGCAGGCCGAGGTAGTACATAGGGACTTCCCATGCACTTCACGGGTAGGCAGGAGGCAGTCAGTAGTCTTCAGGATTTGGCAGCAGCACTCTGGAGGGAGCGCTGCAGGAGTAGTAGTAGCGTTAGCATTAGTCTTCAGCGCTGGGCGCCATAGCTAGGATAGTACTAGAGAGAGAGAGAGATTGGGCGGAGGCCAGGAGTACCTACCTGCAGCGCCGTTGCTCCAGCTTTGTCTTCGAGGTACCTGCAGCACAGCGCCAACTTCACAGGTTAGTATCTGGCTCGTGACAGAGAGAGAGTTCTTCTTCTTCCTCTTCTCAGTCCACCATCTCCCTCTCACCCTCTCATTATCCGACTTCACTGCACCAGCAGACTACGAGAGAAAGAGAGAGAGAGAGCTTGGTGATATTGGATCCGGACTCGACTTTTGGGCTTCAGATATTGCGACGAGGGGATTATTTGGGACTTGTGACAAAGACTCGGTGTTGACGACATTCCCATCTCTCCCCCTTTTCTTCGTCTGATCCCCTCCTCTTCGTCTGTGTATGTCTGGACCTGGCGCTTCCTGTGTACAGCGCCAGGCTCCTTCACACCTTGTGATGGACATGATGTATGTTTGGTCTGCGTAGAAACATTGATTGGGCTAGTCATTAGCATTCTAGCATTCTGCTTCGCTATCTTGTATTACGTGAATGAGGTCAGTCCCGGTCAGGTCAGGATTTGTATCTAAGTCTTCCATGCGCTATTCAGCACCATTTTGTATGTATTAGAATGCTCATTGCTTGTTGAGATTCTACTTGCACTGCATTGTCCATTCAGTCCTTTTCATCACATTGCGGATCCTCGATTATTATGTACATCGCCTATCTGGGCATGTAACAGTTGGTATCGGAACAGCGCACGTGAATCAGGACAACCTGATCTGACACGAGTGCGGGGACTAAGTAGCTGATTAGTCTTGATAGATTGATTAGAGCACACTAGTTAGCCCCCAAAATCACGATTTTGACCTTACTGCAGAAAATCAAACTTTTTTTTTCTTTTCTTGGATTTTGTTTTCTCGTTATTTCTGTTGTGGAAAATCGCAATAGCGCAACATCTGAAATTTCCATTTTCGTTTTCTTCTGAAAATTCGAAATTTCGTTGTTGAAAATCCGGAATATCCTTCTTTTCGAAAATTTCGATTTCCTGTTGCATTTCCCGTTACTTGGCAATTCGGAATATTCTTTTTCCGAAATTCGTTTTTCTGAAAACGGTACGAGAAATCCCTCCGGCGGGTAGTATTTTCCAAACTGCGAATACTCTCATCTGAGTAAGTCCGAATATTTGATTTCTTCTCGGAATTTTTTTTTCTCAGTTTGAGGATTCTGTTAGTCAGTTCTATAAATCATTTGCAGTTTGAAGTCGAAATCTTTTTTTCTCTCATTAATCATTTCGCACTTCAAGGGAGGTTGGGAGACCTACTGAACTTGCAAAACTCGGGATTTTTAGTTTTTTCTCGATTTTTTTTTGGGAAAGTTCAAACTTTTCTTTTTTTATTAGTGGCTCCTTATCTGGGCGTTATCTGGGCGATTATCCCACCCACCCCTCCCCACCTATGTTGCCACCTCTCGCCTTACCTTCTCTACCTGTCTCCGGGTACCCCCTGCGGCGGCATTGGTGAGTTGCCACGTCAGCAGGCCACGTCAGCAGGCCACGTCAGCAGGCCACGTCAGCAGGCCACGTCAGCAGGCCACGTCAGCAGAGAGCCGTGCCACGTCAGCAGCAGGGAATACCACGTCAGCAGGCCCCCGGCCTGGTCTATGCTGTTGCGTTCACAAACAGCCGTCATGGACCAGAGGTCGGGAGAAGCAGACGAGGCCTATCACGCCCGGATGCTGGCCTGGAGTACCGAAACAAAGAGACGGGCGGATGACGCAGCAACAACAGCGAAGAAGAAGGCAGAGGACGCCGAGCAGGCACGTCTCCTGGCAATTGAACAACAGCGCTAGCATGACGAGGCAGCAGCAAAGGCTGCTGATGAAGAAAGAATTCAATGTTGTGAGAAGATATTTAACGGAGAGCAGACTTTGCTCACAATGGCAGCGGAATGGCGGACCGAGGTCGAGAATGGCAAGATGGAGGATAGCGAAAATATCGCTCTACTCCTCTCCCATCTCACATACCTCCTGGCAACCTGCATTACACAGCAGGAGGACATCCACAGCCTCGACGACTCGCTAGCTCAAGTCCACGGCCGCCTCCGGCAGCTGGAGCAGCGACCTGTCGCCGCCCCGGATGCAAGCTCTTCCAACACATTCAATCGCCTCGAAGCATTGGAGATGGACGTCGGCTCCCTCAAGGACGGCATACAGTTACAGAAGACCGCAACACAACAGTTGGAACAACGGATCTGCACTGCCGCCAACCACTCGAGTTCGGAACCACGCGAGACAGCTCCGAAGTTCGACGGGCAGGAGATCTTCAACGACTCGACGAAGACAAATCCAATTTCATGGTTCCGCAAGTTCGAGCTCACGCTGCAGCTACACTACGTAAAAGAACACAAGCACCACGTGTACTTATACTCCTGGTCGGGGGGCGTGTGTCAGGCATGGTTGGACAATCTCTTGTCCAAGTACGGAGTGGTAGCTGCCGACTTGCACACCAAGATCAGCTGGGATGATCTGAAGGCGGCGTGGCACAAGCGGTTCCAGGTAGAGCCGTCGGAGATCAAAGCAATGGACAAGCTAATGGTCTTCGAACAAGGCACGCTGCCGAGTACCGACTGGATTGTTGAGTGCCAACACTTGACATCAGTCCCAGACATCCAGATGGGCTTCAAAGCCATCCGCCACTATTTCATCTCAAGGTATTGTCCGACATTAAGCAATGCCCTGACTCACGTTGAGGACACCTTGACGACGACGGCGAAACTCTGTGACAAGGCTGCGCAGATCATTATCACGAACAAGGAGGCCAATAACCTCCGTTCGTCTGCGCCAGGCCCGAGTTAGAGACCAGCATCGGCCAAGAGTGGCCGTGGTCGCGGCGGCAACGCCGTTTGACCAATCTAGCGAGGGCCGTGTTTGCCAATGAAGGGGACAGACTCGCAACGGCCCGGGAAGGTGGCCGCCCCGACAAAGGTCGAGGACGTGGTAAGATGAAGACAAACACCGCATCTAGGCCCGCGCCCGGCGCAGCAGCTCAAGCCCCATGGTCCCAATACAGCATCTCCGAGCAAGCATTCAAGGCGCGCACGAGATTCCACTATTGCCTATGTTGCAACAGCGATCTCCATGAGACACTCGCATGCCCATTGAAAGGCAAGGGCAAACAGGGAAACTGAGCACCTCCGAGAGTGACTCCATGACACTCTCGACGCCTCCTGAACCAGTCTCTTCGCGAGTGGTCGGCCCTCATTCCGAGGCGCATGCGGAAGTCGATAGTCCTCCTCTTCTATATTATTTTGAGGACTATGCTGCCCAGCTCGTTCCTACGCTGGGTACTCAAGCTCAAGGACAAGACGTGTGTGCGACATCTTCTCCGTCCGGCAGCGGCGACTTATCGTCTTCAAGTGGTTCTTCACGGGATTCGGCGCGTGAGTTCAACATAGAGGTATTGGACCCACTCACGTCCGAGGACTTTGCATGGCTTCCTCTCCCGACCACGTGCCGCCTGCCGGGACCGCAATGCACAGCACTATGCGCTCACCTCCACATGTACTTATCCTTCTATGTACAACCAACTTCGCTGACGGATGACGAAGTCGCGGTGGGGGACATCCTTGCGTATGTTACCAAGGTGGCCCACAAGTTTCGCATGCAGCGGTACGATGACAACAACGCACCGCTCATGTATGTCCGCATCCAGGTTGGGCAAGCGTCCTGCAGCGCTTTGTTGGATAGCGGCGTGTCTCGCAATTTCATGAGCCAAGCCTTTATGCAAAGGGCTGGCCACAAGTTCGGAGGAAGGCAAACCCGACGGCGATCAAGTTGCCGGATGGAAAGACGCAGCAACTTCTCGACCGTTACATCGAGGCCGTACCGGTGTATTTCGCAGCTCACGCATGCGATCCAGTGATGTTTGACATTTTGGACATGGACTTCGACATCATTCTGGGAATGCCTTGGCTTGCAAGTGCGGATCACACGGTCAACTTCCACCGGCGGACTCTTAGCGTTCGCGACGCCTTCAGCGTCGAAGTGGCGTGTACTATTCCTCTACCGCACCCTTCGATTCGGTGCCAAGTGGTGACGGCCAAATCATTCCGGGCGACTTGCGCTTACAAGCAGCCCGAGGAGATCGGCCTATGTTTCCTATGGACCATCGCGGTAGCCAACTCTTCACCCACGGACTTGTCTTCGGACCCCTGGGTGGTGCGGTTGCTGGACGGGTTCGCCGACATCTTCGAGTCGCCTACTGGTGTCAGGCGGCCACAAGTAGTGCGCCGCCTGAAAACGGCATTTTTGGGACTTAGGCTCGAGGGCAAGTCCGTGTCTTGAGGGTACTTTGGTTTGACCGGACAGCAGAAATTAGAGGAACCCAGGGTATCCCTGATTCTGGGTACACTGAACCTTACGACTAACCCTTAGAGATACCAAGATAGGTGGGCGCACTCGGTGTGTCTAGAGGCCGCCATTTCCGGTCGTTCAGAGGGCTGGAGCCGGTTTGGCCTGCCGTGAGGAGGCATCGCGGGAGCAGACCTCGCCGCGACATTTTTGCGGCATACAACCAAGGCCGAAGTGAGGCTTCAGATTTTGCTTATTTTAGTACCGTAATTAAAAAGGAAAAAAAAGGGATTAAGACCGGGAGGGGAGCAGAGAAGAACATGATCCCCCTTATTTTCTTCATTTTCCACGACATTTAATCTTGGGGGAATTCCCTTGTTATTTTATGTTTCCGACAATGAAATTAAAAACATAGAAAAATATTAAAAATCGTAAAAGAGAAAAGAAACAAAACGAAATCGGTCATTTATTTAAATTTTCTTGGAATTTAATTTTGGCGGACTTACGATTAATTTATTATTTCCAACGATAGAATTAAGAAAAGGTAAGAATGATAAAAAAAATAAAAAAAATGATGGAAAGGACGGGAACGCATGATTATCAGGAGGGAGGCCTAATTTCGCCACGATTACCCTCCATCAGCCCTGACCCCGGATTGA